GGGGAGGGGCGGAGTCCTAAATGGGACGGTCTATTGACAGTAAGAAATTTGGCGCAGCAAGGCTATTGTGTTCAGGTAGCCAGCCATGGGTCTTTTGGAAAATAGCGACTTATGAGGGAAAAAAAGCAATTTGGAAGGGGGAGCAGAAGGGACGTCACAAAGAGAAATACCCAAGTCGAAAATTTACATTCAAAAGAAACAAAGGAATAGTTTTGAAAGATAACGGCAAAGAGACAAGACTAAATTGTTCTTGGAGTATGTCTCGAATCGTCTCTAAAATGAAATAATGGTATAGTTTCTAGTACAATATTTAAGTTTTAGTATAGAAAGAGTAAATTAATAACAATTAATTTACTCTTAATACTAACAGTGGAAAATCGGTTTGAAAAAAAAAACACGTAGAAAGTTTTAAACAGACATTTAAAAACGAAGACGCATAATGAAATAAATTGTAAGATTCTTATACCATAAGTCACTCTGATATTTCTATGTCAAAGCTTCAGAATGTAAGACCGTTTTAATTACCAACAACAATGCTTACCAGTTAGGAAACATCGGAAGCAGAATATGGATATATCATTAGCATCGATATCCCGACGCTATGAAAATGTCGATAAACGATACTATATCCAATCTACCTTTTAAATGATTATATAAGAATCAAGAAAACAAATGGCGGTATCTTCTTATCTAAGACAGACAAATTTTTTGTTTTGCAATACGAATAAACAAATTGTTAGCTTTAATCAAACAGTATAAGCAAAAATTGTCGGTGGCGAACATTCTATTCGCTGACAAGACAATGAATGAGACACTACCAACGACAGAGAATAGAAAGTGGATCGGGATAGGTATTTGTGATTATTATTCGATAAAAGCATATTGTATCGATTATATAACCGCTATCGGAAAGGACCATTTCGATGTGAGCCCCCTCGGGGTAGGGGAGAACACTAGAACCCTCAGCTGCTCCACGCTTCCCTTCGGCGCCATTCTATATTATTATCTAACAATCTTATCACGAAATATATTTTTACTTAAATCAGTTGTTTTGTTTTTTTGTGTGTATTGCAATTTGCATCTAAGATGTTTGGATAAAACAGAAATTATTACATGCTTCCCGGTTGGTATTGGTTGGCATCACTGGCCAAACTAAACTTCGATTAATCGATAAATTCATCAATAAACACAGACAGCAATAACATATCATTTATACATTATCATAAAAATTAATTCGTTTTCAGAATAGTTTTGATACTCGTTATTAAATTATAACTAAAATATATAATTAAAAACATAAGTACTACAAATCTGGAAAAATAGCAATACTTGCTAAAGAAAATAACTACTGGTTCTTATTAAACAAAGATGTTGTGAATAGTATATTATTGTATATAATACGGAACATACAAACACATTTATAACGAGGGCTGACCAATATAAATCGAATAATGTTTTAGTCATCAATGATTTTTCTAATAAGTTTTTTTTTTTTAAATTAGCACATATTCGTCCAGTAATTTTTGGCACTGCTAGTCACAAAATGGCGGTATTTATCTCGGTTTGGTAAAAATTAGAATTTAATGTATTTAGAAATAAAAGAACAAGAATCAATTATTTTCTGCTCTCATTATTTAACCAGAGCATCTTCTGATTGTTAATAAATGTAACTAACAGGTGAGGATAGAAAAAACAAAATGATTTTCATGAAAATGTGAAAAGTTTTAAATCCTGCACTCTAGCGACTGTAATTGTAATTAAATATTTTCTTTTATTAATTTTTAAATGCTTTCTTTTGTTTTCTCTTCAATAAATTATCAAGTAACAGCTGCTAAATTTCAAGCAAGTAATTTACGACAATTGCAATCACTTCTTGTGAAGTATTTTACATTTATAAACACTTGTCAGTTAAACGCAATAAAATCCATAATTTGACAAAATTATAATTAACGTAATCACAGATAACTAATTGTTGTGATTCCCAAAAGCGAATCATTCGCAGATGATAATAAGAGATAATCCTCAACTTACTGCTGATGTAATTAATAAGACTTTATAACTAAGGAATAAATCGAGAAAAAAAAATTCCCGACATGATTTATAATGAAAAGAGCGCGGTGAGAATTTTTCATACAAGCTGAAAAATTGTTTATGTTAATTCGTGAAGATAATTGTATAGATATCGACTTATTTGATATGTTTAAAAGAAAGCTATTTCAATTTAAACGAGGAATGTTAGCTTTGTTGAAGACGTATCAACAATTCCGCAGGTTGAGGTGGAAGTCAATGACTGTAGTGATAACATTATCTATTAAATCTAGTGATATCGCTGTCTCTGAATCCCCGCGGAAATCTTACGCGTTTAATATCATAAAATAATAGCAAATAAAACAGTTTTTCAACGAAATCTTAGATAATTTCTAGGAATACAATTCCATGTATTTCTTCAATTTTAAATTTTATACACATGTTGCAAAATGTTCATGATATTTTTAGTTAAGATAGTTCTTAACTATGTTTCAAACAATACATTTTTAGAAATTTCTTAAGAGGATTATAACATTTCTGCATATTCCTTAATTGGGGGCTGTCAGGCCCTAGTACTCAGAAGTGCAAAATTTCCTAATTGCCAGATCATAAATCTGCCAGGTATGTACCTTTTAAGAAGGGTATGACCTGCCCTAAGTACCATCCCCAGAACCGACATCTGTACTATGTACAGATGGAAGAAAGGTTCGTTGGGGTACGGCCCTAAAAGGTAATTAGGGTCGTCCAGGTATCCAAGGGTTTTTTTACCTGGATCAGGTAGCCAGCGACCTCTCTAGGAAACCTTTTGTAACAATACACGGCCCTTAAAATCTTTCCTTAAATTTTACAATAGGCAATATATATTTAAGTAAAATGGCATTTTCTTTTGCAATTCCTAAAATTTTTTATAAATAATATCTGCAATGAAGTTTAATAATTTAACATTTATAAACAAGTAAAAATAAGTAAATATTTTACATAGTAAGATGTTAAGTTATACTTATAGAATATTGAAAATCAGTAAAAACGTTTAGCAGAACAAGAAATATTAAAAAAAATATTTTTCAAAGCAAGTAGTAATTTTTAAAACAACAATATACGTAAAAGACGCCAGCATTACGAATTTGTGATTAAATTATTTTAATTTGAGGATAAATAAAAATATTGGATGCTTTTAAGATGGCTTAACCTTAAAAACAACTCTCATTCAATTTGAAAAATATAGTAGTTGATTAAAAAACAAAAATTAACATCTAAAGTTCTAAATTAAAAATATTTTATGTTGAATGATATGGTATCACTTATTATCAACGGTATCAATTATCAATTCCCTCCATGCTAGTATCATTATCAACATTGACAGCACTAGTGGTTTAATCAAAGCAATAGTTTACAATGAACACTTTTATTTGTTGAAAATCATTTTGGAATAGTTCAAATATAATTGAGATAATTTTAGTCTATTGGTTAAAAATATTTAAAATATTAAAATCAAATGTGTTAAATGAATTAGAATGTATTAAACAAATTTTGAATTTTAAAAATATATGTTATAAGTTTAAATGCCCATTATTAAAAGTTTAAGAATAAAGAGAAGCCATGTTCTAAACATTTATGAAATGAAGAAGCCATTTTCAACAAGCCATTGCTGAGAACCATTTTAGTCTGAAAACTCAACTAACAGTCTCAGAATAAATGAATAATATTACTTAAGTTGTAATAATAAATAAACAAAAAGTGTTTGTAGAGAAAAACATTTAAAAAACAGCTCCCTATGTGTTAAGCATTATCAGAAAGATAACAAATGTCTGAAGCATGGGTCCCCTTTGGCTTGATAGCAGATGATACAACAGGGCAAAATATTAAACATTCTACTAATACAAAAAAATAACAAGCCATGGCATTAACAATGTCTAATGAATCTCATTTTTTGTTTTAACTTAATTCAAAACTACAAGTAAATACCAAATATTTTCTAGGAATGAAAATAAATTAAATGGAAAGTGGAACAAATATACACAACCATATTTCTCAGAGAAAAACTAACAATAGATCAGGTTAATAAAGGAACCATGTCTACATAAACTTTGGACAATTATCCCTTAAGAATAAATAATAATATTAATAATTTGAAGTAACTTTAGTTTATCCTATATATTGTATACAAGTCACAAACAAACGCCATAACTTCAGTAACTTATGGACGTTAAAAATATTTTTATTCCTAGAAATTTGATTAAATTAAAATATGCAACTTAATTATGTTAATATTTATTGTATTAAGTAAAATAAAATATAAACGATGCCTTAAAATAATAATAGAAATTTTCCTGAAAAAAAAAAATATATCGAACTTAAAAATAAAATAAACAAGAACATTCTAGTTTAAACAGAAAAAAAAGTCGTAAATAAATTCCAAATGATTTGATAAAAAACAGATGAGACGCTTTATATCTATAGCGTTATCAGGGTTATCTAGACAAAGGCTAAACAATGAATCGGAATTTGTTGAGTGTAAACTACAGAAATAAACAAACTGATTGAAATACACTAAACTCAATTTTGGAATCGCCTTAAGTATAAAACTACCATTGAAATATAAATAAACTTCATTTTACATAATTAAATATAAAATTTTCTGGAATCGAAATCAGTTCCGAAGTTGGTCCAGTTTGACGATACAGGCTAAGGTCACAAAAGAAGCATGGATGTAAAATAGGCACATGTGCCTACACATATTTCTCAATGACAAAACTCACATCACTTATTATAAATTCATAAGAAACAACTAAAACAATAAATAATACGCGATAGTGTTAAGTAACACTTGATACAAATGGAGCCTAAGCTTCACAACAAAGCAGGTAAACTCTTATCAATCCATCTTATCTGGTCATCTTATAAATAGGCCAAGGGATAGATAAATCAGAATGAACCTAATAAATTATTATATAAACAATATAGTTACTTACATTGATTGGTATGCAAGATGATATTTGAGTGTATACATCTGTTCGAAGTCCATCAGCAGTGAAAATAGGTACTTTCGGCTCGTCCCGTGATAAACAAAGGCGACATAGTTGATAAAACTTTGCAGGTACGTTCGACATCTTAAAATAATTGCTTTAGAAAAGTCTTAAGTACGAATAAAAGTGTAACTAAAATAATGCTGGAGCGACTACTACATCGAGCACCTCTAGGCTGACTTAAAATGAAATGACTGATTTGATAAGTAACCGATTCTGTCACAGTCCATCCTCTGAAAACGGTTCCCCCACTCCTGCATTCCGCTCCTCCTTTCCCCCCCTCCCTCCGGGGGGAGGTCAAGCTCCGCCTGCCTTCTACATCTGGGACAAATATTTTATGTATATTTTTATTTTTAGTAAAATACTTATACCAAATTGAGCATTTAAAAAATAAATATTAAATTTTAATTTTACTTTACTAAATATACAAGATTAATCGCAGTTTTCTCTCTTCTTTACAATTCCCTCTTTGAAATGGCTCTAATCACAAATGGATTTTTATTTATTTCCACAAAATCTATGAATCCGGTTCAGATAATCAATTATTTTTTTCTTATAAAATCATAAAAAATTCATATGGATTTCGCATAAAAACTGAGTTGAATTCTCTTTGTTTATTTAATTTGTGAATTTAAAAATATATCACAAAAATTAAGTTCGAAAAACTAGACAATAAATTCACTCTATCAAGTAATTTCGATATAGTTATTGTTTTGTGAAAAAATAAACAGAACTCCACACATAATTCAATTTGTTTATTATAACTTGAATGTTTTGCTTTGAAGAAGCTTTCATTGACAAAATTATATTAACCAGCATTTTTTTATCTTATTGAAGTTGGTCGACTATTCTACATATATATGTGATAAATACTCAGGACGCAGTCATTTTAATATTTTTTATTTTTGCTGACATTTCAGTCCAAACAGGTGGGTCTTCATCATGGCAGTTACCAGCCCTGAAGGTGTTCTAGTGCTGGCGCCTTGGTGGGTAAGGCACCAAGCAAGGTGCCAATATTTATTTCCTACCATTACAGAGCTATCACCTATTTTGTTTACTTTGTTAAAATTGTATTAATAACTGTTTTTACTACTCAATAAATTATTACTTCTAAGAAAACAAGTTTTAATTTACTTACAAAAAAATCATAGTATATTTGAGTTGAGAAAACCTACCCAAAATGAAAATAAATTATAAAATGAATTTTAGTTTTTAATTGACTGTAAATTAGTATAATTTTTAATAAACACGTTTCTTCATTGTCAGTTTCAAATTATATACAATCTGATCTAATATTACAATTCTTTCAATATTTTATTTATTTATAATTCAACATCATTTTGTGATGAGATCTCCAAGCTAAAGATTTAGATATCTTGTATTTTCTAATTAGAATGACACCTTAAAATTAAAAATCAGGATTCCTTTGTGTGAGCAAAATGCACCGATAATGTATAGCTGTAACAATATTACAAATGTATGTGTGGTTGATCATTGAGGAGGTATGACTTAAAAATATAAACAAGATTCCCCCAAACTTTATTAATACTCTATATGTTGAAAATTTACTAGTCACCGAGGAGATGTTTGTGGAACTAACATGTATTTGTAAAATATGTCCTTTTACTTTCAGTTACGTATATATGTAATATATAGTAAGGGTAAGTATTGCAATCGTGAAAATTTTCGGATCTCATTTTTCAACGGAAATACATGTTTTGAGGTCCCCTGAGTCCAAATAACCAAGTGTCGCAAAATGCTCTGTGTGTGTGTCCGTGTGTGTGTGTGTGTGTGTGTGTGTGTTAACAGTCTAGCTTATAAACGAAAAGTAGTACGAAACTGATATTAAGTATTTAAGGTTTGTACATGGGCCGGATGTGACAGTAACTTTTTCGTTAAAATCGGCTAACCAGAAGTGCCACTTTATATGAACGCTGAAACACATTTTTACAATTTTCTCAAAAACGGCTCTAACGATTTTGATCAAACTCAGTGTATCATTGTGTAATTGAGTGGTCTTTAATATCATTTAAGTCTTATCCTTGTTGATGACATATTACAGGGCTTAAATGCCCAATGTTCATATATGTCTTCCTCTAAAGTACCTTTAATATGGTTTATTTTAAAAAGTTAACCATTTCACATTATTCAGAGTTACGAAAAAATGCTACATACAACTTTTGAAAGAATTTGATAAGTTAATAAAGGAGAAAAATAAAAATAAAAATGCAGAAAAATCTGCGTTCCTACAGACTGTAGCGCCTAAACGAATGTAACGATTTCAATGAAACTTCACTAAAGTCATTTTCTCGATACCCTTTAAATTTATCTATATAACATACTTCAACGAAAAGAAGCTGGGAAAAAAGTTACGAGGGATGTTAAAATTAAATTCCGAATAACTCAAAAAGTATACACTTTTTTGGGGATATTGTATTTGGTTTTTTAAAAGTTTATAGAATTTCCTAAAAAAAAAAAAAAATCGTTAAAATCGGACAATTGGGAGGAAAGATATGGTTTCTAGTTTTTCTCCTGAAGAGGTGAAAATTTGGATAAATTTAAAATATACATTTTTAATTGTTGAGACTAAAAAACATTTTTTGTACAGAAATTTAATAATGTACCTTTCCTAAGAACATCTGTCATAAGAAATAAGTACCTAAATTTATACCTTTATTCTCAATTCTATACTTCAACACTGCAATCACCACCTACGGAATCAACTTCAACTTACTCACTGTCTGCATAGATAACTTTTTCAACTAAAAACATCACTAAAATGACATCACTCATAAATGTTGAAATTGGAGTTAGTCATTCTGTGGTTTATAAAAGCAAAGAAAGTTGTGTGGTTTATAAAAGCAGATGGAGTAACTAAATTTTTATTGCCTACCGTCGATATAGTAAATAGGCTTTTTACAATTTTAATGGTGTTAATGATTTGTTATCTGTAAGCTTTAAGCTTTAGTTCCGTTTAAAATGCACTTCAAAAAATTTTATAAATAATTTTTATTCAAAGTAGAGCGGTAAGTGAAAGTTGTGTGTTGCGCGCACCAGATTTTTTTATTTTAATCTATTAAAAATGAGAAAAAAAAACTTTATCTTCACCACAGGCGTTTTTCTGCCCCAATTATTGGGGAAGAATCAGAGATCATACTGTATATATAATTTACCTATATTGATGCAGGAAAACTTTAGATATTGTCACTATATTTTTATGATGAAAGGGAAGTATAAATAAATAAATAAACTTTTTTTATAAGTATTTGTATTTTAACAAAAACATATTTGTTTTTAAATTTTGTTAAAATAATAAGGTTTTACTTCATAAAATCTGTAATTATTTTGTTTTATCAATGAACTCATTCGATCTTTTTTACATAATAATTTATCTTACTCAAACATTGCTTCTAAAAATTGTGGAATATTTAGACTTCTGTAATTTAAAACTCATATAAAAAGAAACAAGAAATAAATACAAAAACATATATAAAATATACTCTAAAATATATTTCACAGATTTATCTCATATGATCATTGTTTTTAATAGCAGTAGAATATTTTTCTTTCTATAATTTTAAATTTAATACTTGTGCCGGCCCACACCCATCAGACACTTGTCAGAGACCTCGAGACCTGCCTGCGAAATGTGCCCTTTGTGGTGAAGAACATCCAGCAAACTACAAAGGATGCAAAGTTTATAAACATTTTTATAAGCAGAGAACTCAGAACATAGCCTCGAAAAGCGTAAAACTAAACCAAGAAAGTTTTACCCATCTACCTGAAATTGATAATCCATCAGATTTTCCAGAATTGCCAAAAACGACTACTCAAAATACACAGCTAGCGTCTACTTCAAAAGAAATTGAACAACCTCAGCAGGACATCAACCTCAGCAGAAAAACACCAATCACTACGAAGAAGCAGCAGCCTCAAATTCAGGCGCCTCAAATCTCCCAATGCAAACCTCAACCTCACAATCCCCAATCTCATCCTCCACGTCAGCAAATTCTCCCTCATCATATACCCTTACGAGTCAAATTACCGCCGCAGCATCCTCAACCGTCCCATCCTAACGCCCAGAAAAAAAGTGCAGCACAAGTACCTTCCAATCTAGACCCACCTCGTGCACAACGACAGATCCCGCCCTCAGCTAATATTCCTAATCCACCACAAGCACCTATCCTGAATCCAATTCACAATCAACATCCATATGATATAACCTCCATTCTTTCATCCTTCCTATTGGACCTCCAAAATACCATAAAACCACTTATCACTCTTCTCACCAGAATCCTGACCAAAATTCCATTCAATTTCCCACGATGAGCACAAAGCCCCTAACTATCCTTTTATGGAATGCTAACGGACTAAATAACCACCGTGACGAACTTGACTTATTTCTTCATAATAATAACATTGACATTGCTTTACTGACTGAAACTCACTTCACTAAACGAATACATTTCTACATACGTGACTACTTCACTTATAGAACTGATCACCCAGATAACACCTCCCATGCCGGTTCTTGCATCCTTATACATAAATCATTACCCCATTCCCTTATTCCTTCCACTCCAACTGATGCCATTCAATCAACTTCTGTAGTCCTTTTAATTCGCCCTTTCCATCTCACATTCTCAGCTGTATACTGTCCTCCTGGTAATTCCCTCTCCTATAACCTCCTTGATACCTTATTCCAATCCCTCGGATCGCGCTTCATTGCTGGAGGAGACTACAATGCTAAACACCAACGATGGGGTTGTCGAACATCCAACCCCCGCGGTAACATCCTATCACGTATCTCATCTTCCAACAGTTATTCAATCCTCTCGCCCATGTGTCCTACTTATTGGCCAACATCCCTCAAAAAACGTCCCGATATCCTGCATATATATTTATCACCTCCCCGATTTCCTTCTCACAAACCTTAATCAAATCACTCGATGACCTTTCTTCAGACCATAGTCCAATTCTGCTTTCACTACATTCGAGCTATGCTCCTAAACCATCAACTCCTAAATTGATTACAGGAAGAGTAAACTGGGACGAATTTCGTGATGATTTGGAAAACAAACTAGACTTAAAAATTCTGCTAAAGACAAAAGACGACATTAATGGTGCCATTGAAAA